GTGTCAGTGGAGGAGAACGGGACGAACGGGCAACCGATTCCACTGTAACCCAGAGTGGTATCACAACCTCCAGAAAATTCTAAACCACAAAAAAAATGTACACTAGGATTTGTCTAGAGCTTGTTTTAATCAGTCCTGAAAATACTTCTGCATTTTCTTATTAGCCTAATTGTGGGTCTGAAATGAGCTGTGTGGAGTCATAGTTTTATTTTATTACCACTTTGTTTATTATACAGACGTAAGATCAAGTTTTCGAGATAAAAATCACTGTTATTTTCGAAAATGCCCTTAGAAAAATATAATTCCAGATGTCAAGTCATTGTACAGAAGTCCACATAAATGAGTGAGAATTTATAAGGGATTGATAGTTTGTAGTGTTTAATCAGTCATTAAAAGTGAGATTTTTAGTCCTGGCTGGTGTGGCTCAGTTGGTTGGAGCATTATCCCATATACTGAAAGGTTGTGGGTTCGACTCCTGAACAGGACACATACCCAGACTGTGAGTTTGATCCCTTGTGAGAGGCCACTAATCGATGCTTCTCTCTCACATCGATGTTTTTCTCTCTCCCTTTTCCCCTCTCTCTCAAATCAATAAAACATATCTGTGGGTAAGGATTTTTTTTTTTTAATATGTTTCATCGATTTTTTACAGAGAGGAAGGGAGAGAGACAAAGAATTAGAAACATCGATGAGAGAGAAACATTGAACAGCTGCCTCCTGCACATCTCCACCGGGGATATGCTCACAACCAAGGTACATGCCCCTGACCAGAACCGAACCCGGGACCCTTCAGTCCGCAGGCCGACGCTCTATCCACCGAGCCAAACCGGTTTTGGCAGGTAAGGATTTTTTTTAAGTGAGTTTTTAAATTAAAAATAGATTCTATGAAATTATCAAGACTTCGAGTCACTCTACCACTAGAAATGCATGTTTTTATTGGTTTAACAACCATTTCCTGAGCATACACTATGTGTGTTATAGTTCCCGGGACACCTACACCCAGCAGGGTTGTCCCTTAAATAAAACTGAGATTACATCCAAGAGAGAAACAAGCGCTGTGCGAAAGCACGCTTCCAGACTGCACGGCCGAGGCGGGCAGACCCGGCTCCTCAGCACCATATGCAAAGCTGGCCGGGGACCAGCTGAAAGAGAACCCTCAGTAGGGATCCCGACTATCCCAACAGCCACTGAAAGTGTTAGAGGGCTACACGTCTGGCAAGTTTGCTTCCTTTTTTCCCTGAGACACTTGTGGGAGGAAAAGGAAATTAAAAGGGGACCTGCACACCTGAACTTAAGTAAGACCAACAAACAGGAACAATAAAACAGGAGAACGTGATCAGGTCATCCTGGGCACAGACCTGCACAGAAAGAAAAATAGGGGGGAAGGGGAGTACGGGAGGGCAGGGGGAGGGAACACAGACCCAGACTTCAGAAATGCAGATTCAAAAATGTTAGAATTAAAATCCACATTGATCCCATGGCTAGAAGCCAAAAGCTGATATCCAGGCAACAAGAGGGAGGGTGGAAGGCATTACGAAATCAATGGGGATCTTGTTGGGTTCACATTATTAAAAGCCTTTTAAAAAGATGAGAGGAAAATGCATACCAAAGACATTACACACACAAAAAGTATGAACCCAAACCATGAAACAGGTCAAAACTCAAAACAAGCCAAGACTTAGGGAAAATACTCAAAACTAGTACTATGAAAAAGACGAAGAAGATGAAGATGGCGAAGAAAAGACAGCAATGATGAGATGATGATGAAGAGAAGGAAAATACAAAAAATAAATACTATTAAAAGTTCTGAAAATCATATCTTATGAGAAATGCTTAAAGAAATTCTGAACTTGAGCCATGGAGAAAATTCTTGGGGACATGATGGCTGTCCTCAAAAAACCGAAGAGCCGTCCAGTCAGAGAGGGAGTGGACTCATTCTGTTTTGTTCCAAAGAAATGAACTATTAATAGAACTGGTAGGCAGAGATTATCTCTCTGCAACTAGAAACCATGGGCTAAGTGGAGGAACTCAAAAGAATGCCTTATGAGATAATGAGTTTCTTATCTCTCAAATTCAAGGAGAGGCCACCACAATGTTTTAGATTCAGAAGGTACTTCTCTATAAAAGAGAAGCCAGTCTAGAATGAATTCAATTAAACTCAAACACAAGGTAGCAAGCATCTATTACATTCCAGGCTCTATGCTAAGGAACTGAGCATACAAAGTTGAATCGGACGAGTGCGGTGCAAAGTCGCCATTAAAAAAGAAGAAATATATATTATGCATGCAACCCATAACACAGAGAAATCCTACTAAATGAGAAAGTAACACAGAAGATACTTTTTCAAATATATATATATATATTATCTTTTAATTTCAGGGAGGTCCCTTCAGGGAGGGAGAGAGAGAGAACATTGATAGGCTTCTTCCTGCACACCCCACACTGGGGATTGAACCAGCAAAACTGGGCATATGCCCTGACCGGGAATTGAACCTAGACCTCCTGGTTCATAGGTCAACACTCAACCACTGAGCCACGACAGCTGGTCCAGAGAAGATACTTTTAATAAAGACCTGCAATAAGGGTAACCAGTTCAGAAAATAAATAGGCATTTATAGGTTACAATAACAGTACCCCTGCTATAGTGAACCAACACATTGTGATAATCTAAATAGAGAGCCACCTTTTTTACCTTTAATTTGTTTTTGGTACTTCTGTAGTTCAGGTGCCAGGAGCCCACTGAAAGGCCCAAGACACCCCACGGCATTAGCAATAGCATCTTCATCATCTGGGTCATTCTCTTCATCACTGTCTCTGATCTTACCATGTCGTCTTGGAAAACATAACAGAAAAAAAATATTCAAAGAAAATAGTGTCATTTTTAATAAAAATAATTCAGTCACATGGTTTAAAGGACATATATAATGCATATATATATATATATATATATATATATATATATATATATATAAAGTCTCTCATCCCGATTCAACTTCTGCCCAGCTGTTCCACCTAATTCCTACAGGTGATGCAGTGATTAGCTTCTTATTTAGCCTTTAGTTTCTTTATGTATGGATAAGCAGATATGACTATACTAGAGGCCTGGTGCACAAAATTCATGCACGGGTGGGGGAGGGGAGAGGTGTTCCTTAGCCCGGCCTGCACCCTCTTGCAATCCAGGACCTTTCGGGATGTCTGACTGCCGGTTTAGGCCTGATCCCACAGGGATCCCTGCGGGTCATGCCTAAACTGGCAGTCGGACATCCCACTGGCAATCCGGGACCACTGGCTCCTAACTGCTCGCCTGCTTGCCTAATTGCCTCTAACCACTCTCCCTGCCTGCCTGATCACCCCTAACTGCTCACCTGCCTGCCTAATCACCCCTAACCACTCACCTGCCTGCCTCATCGCCCCTAACCATTTGCCTGCCTGCCTGATTGCCCCTAACCGCCTCTGCCTGCCTGCCTGATTACCTCTAACCACTCCCGGGGGTGTGGGGCCAGCCAGGGCAAGGGGCCTTGTCCTTCTGGTCTCTGGTCATTCTGGTCGTTCCACCATTTCTGTTGCTGGGCTTTTATTATATAGGATAGTCTTATTTTTCTCCTCTTTTTACATAAGTATTAGCATACTATATACACTCTTCTGCACCTTGCTTTTATTCACTTAAGAAACCTCTCCATATTCTTACAAAGAGCTTCCTCATCGTTTTTTACAGCTGCACTGTATTGTATGCATGTAGTGCACGTTAGGGAACCTGGCACTAACGAAGCACACTTGAGTGGTTTCAATATTATGCCATCATGAACAATGCTGCAATAAGCAACCTTTATACATCCTGTGTTTTGCATGTGTATAAATATATTTGTGGGATAATTCATAGAGGTAGAATTGCTGGGTCAAAATCCATTACAAATTTTGGACAGTACTTCCCAACGGCCTGCCACGAATCCTGTAGTAAGCAACCTCTCACCTGCAATGTGCCTGTGTCCCCATGGCCCTATCAAGAGCGTGCACATCAACCTTTTGAATTCTTGTTAATCTGATAGGCAAAGTAACAGACTCTCAATCTAGTTATATGCTACATTTCTCTTGATGCTGCCTTCTATGTAAACTACCTAGTCCCATCCTTTCCATCATTTTTTAGTTGGGTGGTCATTCCATATTAATTTCTGGGAACTTTATGAGAGATATCAATTACAAATACTTTTCCATGAATATTTTTGTGTCTGCTTATGAGGGTTCTATTTTGTTCTGTTTTGGTTTTAGTCATACAGAATATTATTTGTAAATACTTAGTGTTTTTTTTTCCTTTATTGTTTTTTTATTTTTTATTTTTTTTTATTATTTTTTTAAATATATATTTTATTGATTTTTTTACAGAGAGGAAGGGAGAGGGAGAGGGATAGCAAGTTAGAAACATCGATGAGAGAGAAACATCGATTCAGCTGCCTCTTGCACGCCCCCTACTGGGGATGTGCCCGCAACCCAGGTACATGCCCTTGACCGGAATCGAACCTGGGACTCTTGAGTGCGCAGGCCGACGCTCTATCCGCTGAGCCAAACCGGCTAGGGCTTATTTTTTATTTTGAGGCTGTTATTAAGGCCTTCTCAATTCCAAAGAACTAAAGACATTTTTCCACATTTTCTTCTGCTAATGTTATTACTTCATTTTTTCCCATTGAAGTCTCTCATCTATATGAAATGTATCCTACTGTATGATGTAAAGAAAAACTTTAACTTTATTTCCTTCCAGAGTAGGTCTCATTGGCCCAGCACCATTTACTAAATAATACCTCTTTTCACTACTGTTTGATATGCCAAGTTTTCCTATACTGTATTCCTGTGTATTTGTCAATGTCTGGTCTTTATAGCATTTTAAATAAGCTCATCTGTTTTTTCATGCTTCAGTTCTACACTATTTTAATTATTGAGATTTTTAAAAAATATTTGATATTTTTAAATAAGTTGTGGGGTTGCTACAGGTCCCTTCAGTTTATATTCTAGTCTTCCTTAGAAAGAACAGTTTTAAAAATCACTCTCTTGAATTTACATCAAAACCTTAAAAAACATCCAGATTTTAAGAACCAAACTACTTTGAATATATTTCTAGGGCTTAACAACCATTAAGTTACAATAACCAGTTAAAGTATCTAGTCTTCTATCACGAAAACAAGAAGGGAAAAAAGAGCCCTTACCCAGACACGGAGGCGGGCTTCACTGCAGCTGGGAACGGTGTAATGTTGTAGGTGTACTTTTCCCTCAGCTCTGCCAGTTGTGGGAAAGGGAATGGAGCCATGGAGTAAACAGTCTGAAAACCAGAAGTGAAAATGCCATGCCTGAAACGGAGCCCTTAAGTAACTCTATCAATCCTGGAAAGACATTACGATTTGAGTGTGAAAAGGTAAAAACTGCCTCTTACAGAGAGAGTGGAAAGATCCTACTTCAATATCCGCTTTAGAGAAAGACAAAAGAACACTGATAAACACAAGGTGAGTTTTCAAATCAACCTGACTGCAACCAG